CATTCTAAAAGGATTGGCAAAGCAAGAGTGTTTTTAAAAGCTTTTTAAAGGATATCAGGGAGGGGGCAAGGTGGATTTCAGGTGGTATCATTCCAAAGGCAGGGTGCAACTGCAGAGAAGGCCTGTTTTCTTGTTCTCTCTTTCCAGGCCTCCCTTGGGTTCAGCACCCTCAGCCAGCCAGCCTGCAAAGTCCATGTAGAAGGGGCAGTCCCTGTTGGGAGTAGACATTCTGCCATGTACTGAGGGCTCAAACCATCTACGGCTTTACATTTTTACATTACATTATACCCAACCCTCTTTAATTGTCATATGCATTATTCACAACAAGTGCATTCTCAAAGCAAATTATTGATCACAGTTAACAAAAACAGCCATCTTATTGGACATATACCAATAATGTATAGTGTGCAGTGAATATCTCTTTTGGTCTGTTGTGTGCTGCAGGGTCACGGAGTGAGCTCCTGTCGCTTTGTCACAACTCCTCGCCAACCTAGCAGTTCGAAAGCATGTAAATGCGAGTAGATAAATAGATACCACCTCGGTGGGAAGGTAAACAGCCTTCCATGTATAGTCGCGCTGGCCACGTGACAACGGAAACTGTCTTCGGACAAATGCTGGCTCTACGGCTTGGAAATGGGGATGAGCACCGCCCCCTAGAGTCAAACACAACTGACTAAAATGTCAAGGGGAACCTTTACCTTTACCTAGGAAAGTCTCATATTTATGGATGTCATTTGCAGCTGCTGATTAGGGTTGTTCTGATTATCTATTTTGTTGTTTTCTTGGATATATAGATTAAACCAAAGAAAAGAGTGTTAGAGTTGCCTTGAGAAATGAAATGAAGGAAGCGAGATGCTTCTGGTAAGGGACGTGGTGGCGCTGCGGGCTAAACCGCAGAAGCCTGTGCTGCAGGGTCAGAAGACCAGCAGTCGTAAGATCGAATCCACGCGATGGAGTGAGCGCCCGTCGCTTGTCCCAGCTCCTGCCAACCTAGCGGTTCGAAAGCATGCAAATGCAAGTAGATAAATAGGGACCACCTTGGTGGGAAGGTAACAACGTTCCATGCCTAGTCGCACTGGCCATGTGACCACGGAAGATTGTCTTCGGACAAAAACGCTGGCTCTATGGCTTGGAAACGGAGATGAGCACCGCCCCCCAGAGACGAACACGACTCGGCAAAAAATTGTCAAGGGGAACCTTTACCTTTAGAGCTAGATGCTTCTGGTAATATGACATGATGCTGCCTTCTTTGGTAATGTTCTAAAAGAGTGAAGAGGGGCACGCGAGTCACATGGCACCTATGGTGAACTCTCAAGATTACATGATCCTCTAATTCTCTAAAGTAGACAACCCTTTCACTAGTATTGGAGTTCTATGTGTGATGCGAAGAATATGCTATTGGCATTTGCTCTTTTTAGATAAGGGTCTGGTGAACATGTCTAGAATTTGGAGAAAATATTATGGGCATGACAGTAATGACATTCATACTATGGTTGCCATTTGGGGCATGAGCAGTGACAAAAGTATTGTGACATAGAAGGCAAACTGGATTGACTAAAAGAAATTTGCCTAGGAAACTAATGCAATAAGAAGTGGGGCCTGAGCATCCGAAACATCTTGAAACCTACATCCCCCCGGCATCCATTTTATGGAAGGCAAACTGGCAAGAGTGCAAGATAAGCAACTCAGTTGAAGAAAATTCCCCTGTGCCCAGGCACAGATGATTCATAAATTCCAACTGCCATACTTTCCTTGGGAAAGTACAAAATATCTGCTACACAGAAGATAAACTTGTGATTTTCATGGAAACTTACACATTTGTTGTTTAGTCATTAAGTCGTGTCCAACTCTTCATGACCCCATGGACCAGAGCATGCCAGGCCCTCCTGGCTTCCACTGCCTCCCGGAGTTGGGTCAAATTCACGTTGGCAGCTTTCGTAACACTGTCCAACCATCTCGTCCTCTGTTATCCCCTTCTCCTCTTGCCTTCACACTTTCTCAACATCAGGGGCCTTTCCAGGGAGTCTTCTCTTCTCATGAGATGGCCAAGGTACTGGAGCCTCGGCTTCAGGATCTGTCCTTCCAGTGAACACTCAGGGTTGATTTCCTTCAGAATGGATAGATTTGTTCTCCTTGCAGTCCAGGGGACTCTCAAGAGTCTCCTCCAGCACCACAGTTCAAAAGCATCAATTCTTCGGCGGTCAGCTTTCTTTATGGTCCAGCTCTCACTTCCATACATTGCTACTGTAAAAACCATAGCTTTTACTATGCGGACCTTTGTTGGCAAGGTGATGTCTCTGGTTTTTAAGATGCTGTCTAGGTTTGTTATCGCTTTCCAACCAAGAAGCAGGCTTATTTTAATTTTGTGGTTGCTGTTCACCATCTGCAGTGATCATGGAGCCCAAGAAAGTAAAATCTGTCACTGCCTCCATATCTTCCCCTTCTGTTTGGCAGGAGGTGATGGGACCAGTGGCCATGATCTTAGTTTGTTTGATATTGAGTTTCAGACCATTTTTGCGCTCTCCTCTTTCACCCTCCTTAAGAGGGTAAACTCACACATATAAACATCTACCAATATCCTCCACACCCTCCACATGAAAAGAAGTGGGAGTCTAGGTATGCTTAAATGAAGCTCTGGGGTTTAGCTATCTGCTGCATACTGTAGATTTTGAAAGAACGCATCTGGGGATTCTGTGAGGTCCTGAGGTATTAGTGAAAGTAACAAATGGCATTTGAGGCTGGCAAATCACTTTGCCACATGCCAGTCTACCATTAAAGAAAGAGAGATTAACTTCGACAAATATTAAATAATACAAAATGCCGTGAAATGTTGTGTGCATACAGAGGTTTCTGTGAGCACCGCTTTGAAGACCCCAGTTCTAGAGTGCATCTATCATCTTCACCAGTTGCAGCCTTGGATCTCCAAATGTTCTTGGAGTACAACTCCCAGAAATCCTGGCCAGCACAGCTAGTGGTGAAGTTTAAGTCCAAGAACATCTTAGGACTCAACGTTGGGAACCACTAATCTACACTACACAGTTATAGCAGTTTGGTACCATTAACTGTCATGGCTCCATTCTCTAGAGTCCTGTGCTTTCTAACTTGGTGAAATGTTTTGGATACTTAACTGGAAAGTTCTAAGTGCTGTTATTCAGAGGGCTGCACAACCATAAGCTGCTACTCTTGTCTAATATAGATGCATATCTAGATATCTACCAAGGGTGGAGAACATCCAGGGATCAAGCAGTACCTCACCACCCACAGGGCTATACCTGACATTTTTCTGTCTCCCAAAATAGCTAGTTATAACCAAGCCTCCAGGCAGCATGACTCACTCTCTGGAACAAATTTTCACAACATCACAATTTTAAATGTACTGTCACCACCAAGTGTGACATCTCATTTGTGAATGAAACATTTTGACTAGTGAACTATTGTTAGGGCATGCCCTGCAGAATAATCAGTTCTGTGTGTAGTTCCTCCTGGTCAACCACTTGTAGAAGGGGAGTATAGTAACTCTTTCCATAAGGAGAAAGCTCCATTTAAATGGGGGAGCCCCAACTTGCCTAACTGCCTTTACATGTTGTGAAAAGCAGTACCCTAACTTCTGCAACGTTCTTCATTGCAGTCAATAAAAGAAACAGAAAAAATTAAAGGAAAGCATAGCATTTTGGGCTAACTTGAAAATGTTAAAAGCTCGTTGTTTATGTGCAATGCTTTAATTATTGCACTTCAGTGGGTTATTCGGTTAGCCAGAATCCTACTGCAAAATACTATGTGCATAAGGGAAATTCTGCTAACTTCTCCCCCTACTCCAGGTTTTCTGGCTCTCTATCAACTACTCAAGTGCACAACTGAGTGTGCAACAAAGCGTGTGACCTGGGTGGGTCTAAGCATGCAACAGACAACTGGAACAATCATGTACACCAGTTATGTAATGTGAGGCCCAATGCTGCACAAATCTTGTAGGGGTCTGGTTAGTACATGTAAAATATCTTGAACTGAAATTTGGTATCAGCTTAACATTTGGTAGACAGCAGCAGGATTTTTGTTTTGGCAAAGGAAAACATGGCCAAATATGTGAAATTTATTTTGCTTAGAAAGTGACAGGAAACAGTCTGGACTATTAGATTTCCCCATATTTAACTACTAGCTGGACCTTCCATGATTTCAAGAATTCGGGAGAACTGAAAGCAAGTTGAGATGGATGATATATAGTTACTTCTGAAGGAGTCATGCTGACATGACCTTTTTTTTTTTTAAAGATCATGATGGACGAAGAATATATAGAAGGTCAATTCAAGAAGCTGCAAGAGCAACATATGGCCATGCAGGAGAAAACATTCACCAATTGGATTAACAACATTTTCTACAAATACAATGTGAGTTGTGACCTACTTTAGTTGGGGATAGGTATATCTGTCCAATCTCTTGTCATGGACTTCCTCCTTTTCTCACTTTTAAGTCTATATCACTCCAGTTTGTGCAGATTTTATTTTTAAAACAGGAAAATGTCATATTTTTGTGCACATTTTCCAAATGAACATATGAATAGATTTCTATCCCCATAGACTGCGAAGTTGTTTGTACACATTTTAGAAATTCCCCCAGTGTTTTCTGCACGTTTTCTAACTGTGCACCTGTTGCCATAAAGAGTTATTTGTTTCATAAAACATAGCATGAGGCAAATGTACATTTTCTGACTGCAAACGGCATCTATGTCCTTTATTCTTTAATTCATTTTGTTTTAATCTTCCCTATCATGCTGTTAGCAATTTAATGGCAATTGCAGATTTATTTGCCGCTGATTATCAACATGTGGCAATCTTGTTAATTTCAAGAATAACTATAATATATCAGATTTATTAGGAGCACTTAATTTTACAGGTGAACATTAGGATTCAAGATCTCTACACAGACCTGAAAGATGGCATATACCTCCTACATCTGCTAGAGCTGCTGTCTGGTGAACAGTTGCCCAGACCAAATAAGAGCAAGATGAGGGTTCATTTTCTGGAGAACAACAGCAAAGCCATCCAGTATCTCAGATCCAAGGTGGGAAATTGAAGGACATGATAAACTTTAAACAAATACAAAAAAATCTTGTAGGTATATAGGACTTCAGATATGGCAGGAGGAAAGGAGGGAAGATGATGGGAGTGTCTAGAGATTTTGAGAAACAGTTCATTCAGTCACTCACTCATTCATTCAAAGTCCAGGATGGCATTTTTAATTCTATAATTCCAAAATGTTTCTCCTCATGCATCTTTCTCAGTAGTTATTCTTATATTATACAGATGGGTTATCCTTTAATACTCCAGGAATTTCTGTAAATGAGCCAGTAATGAAAAGATTCTTGTGACTTCAGCAGGTACATGTGGAGCTGATTGGACCTGAGAACATTGTTGATGGAGACCGAAATCTAATTTTGGGATTAATATGGATTATTATCCTGAGATTCCAGATTGCTTCCATCAGTCTTGATAAGGTAAAACTGTCCTTTAAAAGCTTTTGCCTCTTTTGTTTCCAAATTCATCTTCTGTCAAATCAAATTTCTGCATACATAGCAGATGCTCAGTAGTACAGCATCTGCTATGTATGCAGAAGGTCCTAGGTTGAATCCCTGGCACCTCCAGGAAGGTCTTGGGAAGAATCCCACTTGATAGTCAGTGACTGCCAGCAGCACCAGGCTTGGATGATGCCATAATTTGATCAGACTACAAGGTTCATGCTTTACACAATGTGACAATCTTGTAAGAAATTCCAAATTGAAATATACATCCAGTTAGATGTGACTAGTTTGATTTTAAGGTCAAGACTCTTCCACCCAAAAGACTAGACACCAAAACACAACAGGTGCAATATAGTATATGCGGTCCAGTGCAAAGAGGACTATTTGGAGCTCTCAGATGGAGAAACCAAGCAGTCACTAAACAGGAGAATGGCCCAGCACAGGAGGGGCAACGGCTCAGGACCACAATCAGCAGCGTCCTTTCATTTGAAGGACAAAGAACACTCATTTGATGATCAAGATCTACTCATTTTGGATTGAGAAGATGGGTGGTTTGAGAGAGGGGTCAAGGAAGCCATACATGTGCAAATCCTTCACTCAATAGGGGTGGAGGCCTTAGATCAGACCTGGGCAAAGTGCGGCCCTCCAGATGTTCCTGAACTGCAAATCCCAACATTCCTCACTGTGTGGGCTAGGCCCAACTCTCCTCACACTATTGGCTGTGTGGGCTAGAAATTATGGGAGTTGCAGTTCAGCAACATCTGGATGGCTGTGTTTTGCCCACCCCTGCCTTAGATACAATCTGTCTCCTATTTATCATGATGCCCTTTCATCAGTCCCAAGAAAGATAAGGACCATACATACCAGAAAGACCATTGTTAACTACTGTTAATGACCCATGGCAGTGGGTGGAGAAGGACTGCAGAAGTGGGATTTTCACTCATCCCCAGTCCTTTGTCCACTTAACAAGCCTATTCAGACTACGGGAGGAGTGAAACCAACCTGGAGGAGGGTATATTAGGGATCGCCTACCAACTCTCCTCAGACTGAAAAAGCTACTTGGACGAGTAATTAAATGTTTCAACCTAACAAGAAGGAAGTCCAGTTGCCATTACTCAACTTTCAGACTAGTTTTGATATTGAGCAATTAAAATATCACAGATGTGAGTTATCCAGTTAAAAGAAGAATGCAGGGGGGAAATAATCTGAGAAGGGAAGGAAGACCAGGGGAGTGAATGAGCGTTGCTCACAGGCATTGCCAGCTTGAGAATGTAGGAGTCATCCCACGCCAGATCAAAAGTCCATCTAGCCTAGAGTCTTGTTTCCAATACTGCCTCCAGAATGTCTCCCAGCACAGCATGAATGCAATCTCTTTCTCCCTCTCACTGACAAGAGACTAACATTTACAAATGTATGTTTTAAAAACTATCCAGTCAATCTTCCACAATACTGGTTTGCAATTAATACTGTTATTTCCGTTATTTCTATCAGTACAATACTGTTTTTAGCATTCATCTTTTATTGGCTTTTTAATAGATGAAAATTAATGTTATAATACATTTTCTGTTGCACATATTACTATCCTTTGAGAATTTCCTCCTGTTCTGTTTTAATTCTAGGAGGAGTTTGGATCTAGAGCTGATATTCTCTCTGCCAATGATGCCCTACTACTCTGGTGTCAGAATAAGACGGCCAGTTACTCCAATGTCCATGTGAAAGATTTCTCTAAAAGCTGGACTGATGGGCTAGCCTTCAATGCACTCATTCACGCTCACAGGTAAAGAGGCCTTAGGACATCTGCAGGAATAACTCAGATATTTCAAAGTGGTTTGGCATGAGGATGTTGCAGGGCTAAGAAAGGTATGGGAAAGGCAATGTAGCATCTCCCCTGTCACAATAAGTTGCAACATGTGAGGTTTTAAAGTTTGGGGCGGATGAATAACAAAAACGGAGGGATACTACTGAGGTTTCAAAAAACGTGCATGGTGTGCAGAAAATGGACAGACGGATGTCTTCCTTCTTGTCTCATAATACTAGAACCTAGGGCATTAATTATGCAATACAGTAGGAGATTAAGGAGAAACCAAAGGCATACTTCTTCCGACACTGCAGTCTAAATTATGATATTTACTTCAATAAGACATAGCAATGGGCAGCAATTCCTTATGAATACAAGCTTCTGAGGAACAATAACTGCAGATGGTATTGCCCTCACAACCTTCTGGTGAGCTTCCTGGGGTATCTGTTTGGCCCCTGTGGGTAAAAAGAGAAGGTGCACCATGCCTGCCAAAGCTGCTACCAGTTCATTATATACCACATCACTTCAAAGTTAGATCCAGTTAAAGAAAATCATGTTGTTCCAAGGCAAACCACTAGAGGGCATCTGTGTCAGTTATTATAAGTAAAAGCAAAACAAAATAAAAACTAAAAATAAAAGAACAGATAAAAAAGACAACAATGTAGTGGCACCTTAAGACTGTTATATTTTAATGTGAGCTTTTGTGAACAAGTCCACTTCCTCAGACATAATAAGAGCGAGAGATAATATGGCAAATATTTATACATGTGATCAAAATACAGAGATTCTGTTTGGCTGGCTAGCTGGCTGGCTGGCTGGTTGGTTGGTAAGAAAATCAATGGACATTTAACAGTGGGGTAATATCCTCTTTGATATACATGTATATTCCTTTGAAGCTTAGGCTGTAAAGGATGTAAGAACCTCTGTCACAAATAGCAATGGTAGAATAACTTGAATGTTAATTATGATGATGAGACTGGCCTTTTACAGTTGCTAATAACCTTTTTGTTAGCGGAGATTGTCTGGGATAATTTGCACATCACAATGCCAGTTATGTATCCTTTTGAGGGCTTCTTTGTTACATGCAGTTACTAGATTCAGTAAGGGAAGCATATTAAGTGGAAATGTGCACTAGCAACAAATTCAGATTCGGATGCAGAATTTGCAGTTTTAAAGATTCAACATTTCTAGATATTCAGAATTCTGTTACAGTCAACATGTATATTATGTAGTCATTATTTTTCCCTTTGAAAAAGACAAACAGGCAAAACATTTCTAAAGGATTTCCCTATGTTTTCTGATATTTTCCCAGTGATTAGTACCAAACAAAGAGAGTACACACCAACAGCCAGCAATGTCTAGATATTAGGAAATGACTGGGATGGGCATTCTGATTGAACCCTGAACAGCAGGAATGCCAGCAGAAAATGCTGGTGACCTTGGGAAAGCAGAGAATAGGTGACACTGGGGAGTGGGCAAATACCCTGGGGAGCACTGGCAAGCAGATTGGAGCAGCATATAGCCTATGTGGGGCGAGGGAGAGACTTTTGGAGGAATCTTTCTTTTTGGTTAATTCCATTTAGTTAGTATATCAAAAGGTACAAAAACACAAGCAGCTGCAGCATAACAAAAACATGGAAGAGAAAAGCTCAAAAAAAAATCCCAGCATCCACCCTGCCCCTTTACTTTCACTAGCCCTTTGTATATAAAATAAAAAAATAATCTACAAGTAGTTCAATTAGAAAATAATTTTTACTTACACTTGATCTTCAGTTATAATCAGAGGAGAAAATGAGATAAAAGATAGAAACTGCAGCCTCCAGCATATGGGAAGTTCAGTCCATCATGGTAAAAGGTCAGGGTTAGGGTTAGAGCAGAAAATTACCTGTCTGCTCTGATCAATGGTCAGAAAAAGAGAGAGGGCAAAGCAAGCAGGGCAAATAGAGGAGAGGGGCACGCCATTCTCTCTGGTGAAGAACATTGGTTTGTGGCAGAACTGGCACGCCTTTACCAATTTCCCCACAGGCTGTCTAAAAAAACCGAAAACCCAACAAACCAACAAATTGATTTGTGGTTCGTCGGGGTACTGGGGGGCAATTCATGGGTCATCACGTTTTGGCACTTCATCCCCATCTCTAATTATAACTCTTGGGTAACTTTAAGAACTGGCACCAGAATTCATTAATTTTCCTGTGCTCCACCTCCACTGTCATTTGCATCTTTCACATAAGAGTCTGCAAGCAAAGCTATCTTGTTTTTATTTTATGTAGGCTGCATTGGAAGGCTTTTGGAAAAAGGATCTTCCTACGATTACAAAAGTTAAAATTGGATGTGATTTGTCTACAAGAAACACATATAAGGATAACAGACAATAAGTTATTACAATATAAAAAAATCGGAAAGATATTTATAGCATCAGACTTTTTTTAAAAAGAGGATTGGATGTCTGTGTAAGGAAAGAATTAAACTCTACATTGGTCCATGAATCACAAGATGGAAGAATATTAATGGTAGAAATACAAAAAGAATTTAAAAAATTGATTGTGAATGTATGTGGGGTCCCACAGGGGTTGATTATCTTGCCAATGCTGTTTAACATCTATATGAGACCGCTGGGTGGGGTCATCAGGGGGTGTGGAGCATCGTGTCATCAGTATGCGGATGACACCCAGCTCTACATCTCCTTCTCACCAACTGCAGGTGATACTGTCCTGTCCCTTCAGCGCTGCCTGGAGACCGTACTGCAATGGATGCAGGAAAATGGGCTGAGGCTGAACCTGGACAAGACGGAAGTTCTGAGGGTGGGGGCCCCCGTGGCTGGTGGCCTGGGTGATTCTCTCTCATTTGGGGGGGGTGGCCCTGGCTGCGAAGAGTGGGGTCCGCAGCTTGGGTGTACATTTGGACCCGACGCTCACCATGGAAACACAGATGGCGTCGGTAGTCCGTACCGCCTTTTTCCACCTTTGGTGGATAGCCCGGCTGCGGCCCTACCTTGACATGGGGGTGCTCACTACCTTGGTGCATGCGCTTGTAATCTCAAGATTAGACCACTGTAACACGCTCTACATGGGGCAGCCTTTGAGGTTGATGCAGAAACTACAAGTGGTGCAGAATGCAGCAGCCAGACTCCTTACTGGAGTGAGAAAACACCACCACATTTCTCCTATTCTGGCCATGCTGCACTGGCTGCCCATTCGTTTCCACATTGACTTCAAAGTTCTAATGCTTACCTATAAGGCCCTAAACGGTTTGGGACCTCGATACTTGGTGGAACGCCTGCTCCCACCAAGATCTACCCA